TCACTTTGGCACGCCACTGTATCTACATGTGTATGAACAGATACATTTAGGTAGAAGTAATTAAAGATGCTGACCAATAGGAATTAAAATTTTAACCCGGACGGTCCCACGAAATAAATCATTGGAATGCAGCTGTTACTTACTTGCTTATGAAAGTGACCAGAGGTCAGATATTTGGATAAATTAGCTACAACAAATAATATTTAAAGATTATGCAAAAGATTGGATATTATTTTAAAAGTGCATTAAAAATTTAAAAGGTACTCAAGGTCAGAAGTAATAGTTATTAAATTCAAATTAAAATTTAAAGTAATTATTGCAAATTTCGAAGGAGTTACAAGTATGGAGATGTAAATATACAAAGGTAAACCTAGTATAAAATGAGCGGCTGGGATTGACAGGATTTTACTTGAAAGCTGAACCTTGACTGTCTTGGTTGCATTTCATACAGGTGAGATAATTTTCTAGACGCGCGGTTTTTGTCAAATTATTAAAATTTTCACATGGCTTAATTAGTTACAGGTTACAATCTTATATATCATAACTAGTAATGTTTAGTATAGTTTATAGTATATTGTAAAAGATCATTTACTGTAATCATAAAGATTAATTACAAATAGATTATTTAATTTAATAAAGAGTGGAAAGCTGGATTTTGTCTCTTTCTGGTTGCATTGGTTGGGTAACATCTCCACTCCCCAACACATGCCAGCCGCACATGTCCATCAGATTTACAAGAAACTGGAAATGAAGAGCCAAGAAACTATATTATAACAAATAGCGAAATTGACTCATCCCGGTACTTCTCACACGAGTTCCAGATAATGAGATCAATCTGATTGTAACAACGAACGGAAACAACGATCTTTCTTTTTATTAATTTTTTTATGAAAAGACCATTTCTCCAGCATAGAATTCTAAGGACATCTGTTAAATCTGTTCGGGGGTTTTCATTCGTTTTAATTCAAATGTTTTTGATATATCAATTTCTGAGAAAAAATGACCCCCTTGTGTAAAGAACCAACAACTTTGGAGATGTTTAAATCTGCTAATTTTGCAGAATATGAAGGGATGCTAAAGTCTACTGATTTAGGAAAAGTTTCGATAATTCTGCTCTTGGATCATTTCAACAAGAACGTGAATATTTTCTAAAATATACCCTGAAGTATGCACACGATGCTTTTCCTCATAGAGAATACAGAAAGGAGTGTAACAATTATAGCAGTAAAACGTCGGTTGTTCGAAGGACCTGCATGGACATTGGGGGAAAATGTTGGTATCCGTTTCTGTATTTGTAAGGAACAATATTTTGCACTTCTGATGGTCGTAGAAGGAAATGATTTGCTGTGCATGTTTTACAAAGTCCAGTTTGACATTTTCGACAAAAATTGTACACTGGATCCAAGCAATTGTCACAGAGTAGTATCTTTTGGGCTTGAGTGACATGATGTGCGCCATGCTGTACAGGGGTATCGTGTATCGTTTCCTGGAATGCATTACAAAAAATTGGAATTGAAAAGGAGAAAAAATGCAAATAAAACCTTTGTTTTAATATCATCAAAGGTCTAAGTTTGATAGCAAATTTTCCCTTCATAAAAATCCCGCAGTTTAATAAGATTTTAAAATCCAATCGAAAATCAAAAATATGCAAGAGTTGCATGTGATCTACAAAATATTTACAATACATGTTCCTTTTAAATTTACATGAATATTTATATTTAAAAAACCCATGATTTACCTTTATAAAAGCAGAATAAACTAAATTTGATCTTGAAATATTTCCATTTCTAACTTTTTTTTCTTTGCAAAAACTCATGGAAAGTTAGCGGAGTTGATTTCTTGATAATTCTACCAGAATGAAAATTAGGCAGGTTAGTAGGTAAGAAGCTAAAGAGGCATAATATGCAGGCGAACCTCATGCACATCTGTCTGTGTCTGACGCTTTGCAGGCCAAATATGCAGATAAATCTATAATGGCTGTCTTTGTGTTTGACGTCTGTGAGCAAGGACTTTTGATATATCTTCGATTAATTTAAATATATGTCTACATTTTAAGAATCTAAATCTACAATTTTATTTCACAATATTCGCCCGTTATGCATAAATTATCCATGGTTTTTCATTATCGTTGATGCCCTGGCACGCTATTCAAACTAGACAGTGATTCCTTAAATGATATGCATGATTCATGTTGACCTAGTCCAGTAAAGAGAGGCAACTCTTCTGCGAAAGATGTCTCAATATTGTATGAGTTATGTATCGTAAGCACTTATCGCCACAATGTACTATTTCTCAAACGTTATTTCTAAAAGAAAATATAATTCTCTATCATAAAAATAGGGAATGAATTCGAATCCCTAAGATTCATTCCTGAAGTATTCATGTGTAATAATTTGGTGGCTTAACTTCGATTGAAAGAAGCCAGGAAAGATCAAACTTCATTTTTTTTTGCAAATTCAAATGTGTTGAAATCGACACCCACAAAAGAAGGAAAATTTAATGTCATCTAAAAATATTCTCAATAAGTTTTTGGACTTTCTTCTTCAAAGTTCAAATCTCATAAACGTATGTCTGGATCAAGTGAATATACAACTGTTTGTTCAGTGCATATTCAAAATCCTGTATAGAATATTCGTGCATACTAGTTAATTTTATCACTTTCATTTCAGGAGAAGATTTATTTTTGTTTGCATAAAGCAGAAGACTTTCCCAATATCTTTAGCACACAATACAAACACCGATAAAGCTGTGTTGTATTCTAGTTGCTGTTTTAAATTAAGACGTTTCGCTTTCAGTCATTCAACTTCCTGTTAGACGATAATTGACAAAATGTTCTAAAGTTAAGAGCTGCTTGAGTTTTCCCGTGACCCAATCCTCACTGTAATTTTTAAAATAATGTCTCTGAAAAAGAATAAGTACATTTAAGAGTCAAATTAAACTCTTCAAATTTGCAAGCTTGACCTTAAAAGTTTGCAGACCCACACTAGAGAACCACCTCTTACATGCTCATGTAGATGCGGTTCATCCTCGAGTAAACTATATGATGTTATGTCTGAAAGTTCTCCTCATTTACGTTCGAGATTTTCTGATTTTGATTATATTTGGTAGTTAATCAAATCAATTTCACCATTGGCTTACTAGAAAAACAGCGAATGTAAATAGTAGTAATTCTCACACCTTATACTTATGCGGACACAAAAGCCTAAAGTGTTCTCCGCTTGCTGATTTATTGTATGTTGTTTAACGTCCCTTTCAAAAGTGTTTCACTCATATGGAGACGCCATAACTTGCCGTTGGAGAGCTGCAATGTTTGTCTTATACTCGGCACTCAGGGTCATTGAGCAGGGAGGGAGATTTTTCTTACCTGCATCTACTGAGAAACGGGACCTCGGTTTATAATGTCTCATCCGAAGAAGCTAACACGCATTTTCAGTACATCAGAAGTTGGATTAAGTGCCAGAATTAAATTCAACTTCTTTTGTTCAATAAATTTTATTGCTTTATGTCTAATCGATTAATCATATAATTGAATTTCGGATACATGTATCGATTGCAACTCTATTTTTGCCATATATTTCAATTGGATGGCATCACACTTTCCCCCTTTTAGCTTTGTGACTTAGCTTACACAGATTTGCTGAAATCACAAATTAGCTTATGTTATTTAGGTAACAGAGAGTTAAAAATCAAACTGCCGTATTTTTCAATATTTTGGGGATATATGAGAGGATCTCTACTGTAATTGTGTGTGTTTGTGTTTTTTAAAGCTGAACGAGGGGCACAAAGATACTCTCGCCTCCTTTTAATTAAAAGTGGTGATCGGTAGAAAAAAATCTCCCCATGAATCTAAATTTTGATGTCTCTCCATCTCCCTGTTTAATATATTTTTGAATCTGTTTCAGTCTTTTTCGATAGCAAATACATTGATAGTGTATGTCAAATTTAACTGAATCCTGAGTGGAGTTAAGATTAATTAGAATTCCCGCCCTTACGAAGCTAACTCAAAAACACTATTTTCTTACTTCTTTCTCGATGTTTTTTATATTATGATATATTTACTTTTTCATATCGACAATATTAAAATGATAATTATGATTAAATCCTTTGTAACGATCGATGTCTGAAAATCAATATTATATATATATATATATATATATATATATATATATATATATATATATATATATATATATATATATATATATATATATATATATATATATATATATATATATATATATATATATATATATATATATATATATATATATATATATATATATATATATATATATATATATATATATATATATATATATAAATAAATAAAAAACAAGTTTATTAACTTCAATTGGAATTGAAGTGGGTCGGTCACGTGATCAAATCCTGTGAAGGCCGAAGGCCTTCTCAGAAGATTTGATCACGTACCGACCCACTTCAATTCCAATTGAAGTTTATAAACTTGAGTTTTATTACTTATATATACATTTGAGACAGACAATTGAATATTTTCGATTTCAAATTATTGCACTAACCGTCCGTCGTAGATTTTAAAAAAAATGACTCAAGGTGTAAATCGGCTTGCATGGCGGTTACGCTTCGAATTCATTAGTGCATCATGATGCATTAGTCTAAGGAATCTATTTCGAAGGGAATATTTTGTGAAATTGTACTTGTGATCTTACTTGTACTTGAGATTTTACATAGGTATAAAAATGGCAAACAAAGATGTGCTTTTACGGACCTTTATTCTAGTAATTATAATTTGTAAGTATATATTTTACATTGTAATTTACTCATACGAATTTGACAGCACGACGTGTCGGTTTGTGGTAATATGACAGGATTCCACTCTATCAATATAGCAGGTAGACGGCGAGGGCTGTACTTCGAAGTTTAAAATAGAACTGATAAACTATAAAGATATTGTATTTTCCTTACCTCTTTGACCCGAATGTCGTAATTTTTTTTTTACAGTTTCTGGGATTGTCGAATCTGCAAGAAGCTACAGATCTCGCAGAACAAGTTCTTCCGCATGACTGTAAGAAAAAAATGTACTATCCAATGTTTTTGTAGTTAGTCAAAGTATGCCTTTTATTAGAATTATTTCTATTTCATTGAGTGTAAGCTACGTTACATACTATTGAGTTGTCACTATTGATTGTTTTTTAATTTGGTTTTTGTTTGCTTTCATATATATGCTTTTATATTTTTCTACAAAGCCCTGGATAAGATTTTGTTTCAAATATTTATTTAAAATGCAAAATGGTAGCTTATAGGCAGTGCCTTTATATAAATATATATATTTCTGTATGATAAAACTAAAGGTAACTTTATTTCTTAATTTCACTGACTTATCTATTCTATTGTATGAAGAATTTGGAGATCGATTACTCTATGCTCCTTTCACCTTACTAAAATATTCACAATTTCTTCTTTATAAAAAAATAATTTAGAAAGCAGAAAACATGACAGGAATTAAAAATTTCAAGCTGTTTTCAAAGTACAAATGCTAAATAAATGACATAAATACAGTGTTACGAGTACATGTAGATTATATTCAAGTGTATTATCAAATGAAATATCTATTAATAACTTACTTTATTGCCTGAAAAGGTTTATTGAAAACATTTTCATAAATACTCATAGTCAATGATTTTATATGAAATTTAAAAAAAATCTGCAATGATGGCCTATCAGCATTTAAGAGATTATGTTCTATGTGGTATTGCAAAACGCTGTAAATTGCTCCTTTTATTCCAGATATATTATGAATGTGCGATGTAGACAAACCATTTTTGTATTTTAAATGTCGAGTAACTTTGTCTTCTTTACTGGGGCGTGTATGATTTCATAGTCTATTTGTGCACTAATTAAATCAGTTAACATTCAGAAATTAGTATGAAGTCTTTGATCTTTGCATTTTTGTTTACCTTTTGTTTGTTGTTTAACGGTTTTCTCGAGAATATTTATAATTAAATCTAATACAGACTTCACCATTTGCCTGTGGAGCCGGACTGCAAATGTAGACCTATAGAAACTCAGGGCCTTTTACGCAGTGAGGGGTCCTTTTTTCTTGTCAGCACCTACTGTGATAGGGGCTTCTGTATGTACGGTCTCATCCAAAGGAACGGGTTTAAGTCCCGCAGTTGTATTCAAACGCCCTTACTTATCAACTTTTAAAAATATCCCAAAACTCTAGAGCAAAAGCTATAATTACCACTGAACCACGTAAAGTACAATCTTTACATTGTGCATATTGTAATATATTTTTTCCTCAACTACATCTTTCACTGACATTTAAAATCAACCTCTATATTCACTTAATGTTGGAATTAACCTTAGACCATTCTAATGTCCCTAAAAGCAGTTTCACGTCGTATACATGTAGTTTGTAGTTTATACGTCATGAAAAAAAAATTGTCAAATATTGTGTTATATTTTAGTCCCTGAAAATAAATTCAAATGTTTAATTCGTTGTCTTACACTGTATATGGAATATCGTCTTTTATTCAGAACCAGGATGTAAAGATGGTAATTTTTTTTTTACAATGCTTGCACTGTTAAAAGAAGGCCGTGGAAGCGATCTCCGGTCGAAAGTTACCGAATTTGCTTAAGATAGGCAGCAAATGCCCCTTCAGTACAGGTTTAAATTTGAAGCCAATTTCCGGTGTATGCATGGTGTACATTCTTGATAGGTTTTACTGTTAGTTGTACAGCCTTGGCCCTCTATAATGGGAATACCTGTATAAGAAAAACTGATGCATCAAATTCAGGATTTTTAACCTTTTTTCATGATTTTATCTTGACTTTTTGATAAATGAAGATTTAAAAAGAATATCAGATTCACATTATCAGAAAAAAAAACTCTTGTCATTATTTTTTTTTACAGAGACACATGGATGATTGTTGTGATTGTTGTCTGTTGTTTAGCAATGTTAGCTGTTCCACTGGTTTTACTTCTTTGTGTAAAATGTGGATGTTGTAAGGTTGTTCGAAAAACCTCCCCAGGTCAACATGAAAGTAAGTAAATGACAGATCAATATGGACTCAAAAGATAAAATTCAGTTTAACTGCATGCATCAATTGTAGAAGGTTTATAACAAATTTTATTACAGAAATAACTTTTTTTTTTATTTTTACCGTTATATCAAAAGAGCTCTTTTTTCCTAAATTTCTCCTAATTCACACCCTTAAAAATCTTAAATATATCCAAGATTTTCTCATTTTAAAATAATATACCATATTTTAAGACGCATTTGATTATTTACTGTCTTGCAATTTTTTGGTCAGATTTAAGATTCCTCCTTTGTATGCTTTCCGGTTATCTTAATAAATGAGCCTAAACAAAATTAATATTTTATATTTATAGATTTATTTTGTTATATAGATTGATATTTTAACAGTAAATTCGAATGATTTGTATAATTTTTTTTTGAATTTCACGATTTATTAAAAACAAATTTCGTTTATTTAAAAATAAATGTATTTTAATTGATTATAAAGGACAAAATCTATTGGAATAATGTGAAAGAATATGAATCAATAAGATTTTCTCTACCCTATAATAAATCTATATCTGTTGTTGTTTAATTTTTTCTATTTATACTGATGTAAAATATACGTAAAACGGAATGATAAAGATCTACAGATATGTCACAAACACATAAATAGTCCTTGGACATTAACAGTGATGGTCGTTCTGGCTCTGAAAAGTTCAAATATTCTTGATACAGTCCAGTGGAAAATATCTCAAAATATGAATTAAGACAAAATGATATTTCTCTCTATCAATATGGACTCCTTAACTTAAAATGACTTGACCTTACAGAACTTACCAGTATCATTTAGATTTACAGCTATAGATGTTTTTTTTTTAATATGAACACTTCATATAACAAGAAAAACCTCTTCCTTGCAGTGGTTCCGCCTGGATAACAATATGGACAACCAGGAGCTATGTATGGTCAGCCTCAGAGCGGAATGCCTCCACAGTACGGACAACCAACTCAATACGGACAACCATTCCATACGGACAACCGAACGGTTTTGCACAACAAAATGCCTTTGGGCAACCAGTTGAAAATCAGTTTTCTTATAGTGGTGGAAAATACTGAGCATGTGCTCAATTTGCCTTTTGAGTATGTGCATATAGAACATGAATTATCAAATGCGAATCATTTCTTTGATCAATTCAGTATTATATTTCTTACTGTTATTTTAAAGTGTTTATTTTTTGTAAATGATGCATAAAATTTATTTTGAAATGTAAACAAACTTAATATCTTGTTTTTTCCCAGTTGATATTTTGATCTTCCCTGTCAAAAAGAATACATTTGAATGAACAGGAATTCTTAGTCTGTAGTGTATTAGAATTCGAGCATTAGAAAAAAACAGGAGTGTGCGTGAACGTGAGAATACTTTTTTATGATTATAAGTAGAAAATAGCCTACATCAGTGATGTGTAAATTAAGCACACGGATCCCTGTTTACTAAAAGATGGTAGAATACATAAGACACAGAGTCATATTAATATTGAAGAAGAAGAAGAAGACGAAGAAACATTCCGGAACAAAAACTTAGCATGCAAGAGATGTTCCAGGTGGATAAAGAGCTAAGTTATCATTTATCTGTTCATCAGTGCCCACTTGGTTGAGAGGTTGTCGTTCCCTCCCAAGACAAAGTTATATGTGTTTTGAAATTTACTAATTACATATATCATCTTTTTAAAATTAACTACCTGTAGTCATACGGATATTAATATTACAAAAGAACTTCCGTATATTCCCCTAATGAAGATGTAAAAGTGAGCGCCTCTCGCAAAAGTTCTATGCTCTTTCTCTCTCTCTTTCTCTCGAACAGACAAATCCTTTTTAAAAAGTATAAAAGATATGAATACTTGAACGTGTGTGACAATGTTGAAGAGATTTTACTTGATGTCGTTCAAAAGACAAAGAGTGATATATTCTCGATTTCAAGAGGTAACTTGCTATGTTCAGTAGGACGTATATACCTAGTTCTATCTTAAAAAGAATACCAAATAAATAGCTATTCTTACTGTTAGACGTCATGCTATTGACTTTGGAAATGTGTTCGGAATGACCTAAATGTGAACTCTACACATAGGAAGGAATTTAATTGAGGTTTAAATCATGGATTGAACTTCTAGATCAATGACACACATTATTTTTATATGATAGGGTAAAACTAGTAAATACGCACTTTTGTGATCGATTGAAACTACATTAAGGTATCCGACTCATAAAACCTAAATTTCTAACCTTAAATATCAATTGTACATGTGTATAAAAATACTAGATATTATTTTAAAGCATTTTAGAGTACAAATTTTAGCAGATATACATGTCTTTATTATTGATTCAGTTCCATTGAATCCGAGGCAAATATGGGTCGGGTACCTTAAAAGCATAACATTGTCGTATCTGGTTTTGTTTTGTTTTTATCAATGTACGTAGAAAATCATTAATCTATGAAACGTAAGGAAAACATATTAAATTTTGTAACACGTTGCAACAAATCTTTATTCCACAACAATATAGGTAATTTTGCAATGATTCTTTGAAAAATGAATCAATCTAAGATACTCTATGCATTGAATGCAGTAACCATGTTAAAATGTGCATCGAATGATTAAAAAGGATATAATTGTTACAGTATTATAATTTATTTTTGAAAATTAAAAGAAAAGGGCATACAATACATCAATCAATAATCATGCAATAAAAAGTTAGTACATATGTTATAAACTCTTACAGATATAGTTACAGATATTTAGTTAAAATTAATGTTAAGTGGTGTGTGGGAGATACACCAGGAAAATGTAAATCGATCGAGAAAATTGTGTACTAAAAAGTCATATATATTTTGGTTATTATATGATAGAAAATTCTTCACAGATTCAAATCGTATTAGATATTTCGGAAAAAGAAATTTAAACAGCAAAGCTAACCATAAATCAATGTTGTCACTCTAAAACATTAAAATTTTATTAATAAAGCATCCGGGGGACATAAAAGGAAAGAACACAGAATCAGATTACCAGGTGGCGATGTAAACAATATGCACCTATTGATTTATAACTTACCAACAATAGAAAGATTCGATATCAGTATTAGTGTAACGACGGTCCTGCATTAATGTGTTTAATACCTGTAGTATGAAACCTTAGAATACAATGGGAACTTGATATTGCCATAAGAATGTTTTTTTTAGGTCATAAGCATTTCGAAATTCCCGAATTCTGATCAGAAAATTCTATAAAGGGATAAAGATGACAGGTGGACAGACGATACATGTGTTATGGACTTTTATTCTGATGATAATAATTTGTAAGTATACTATTCTTACTTTACTATTTGCTTTAACGAGTTTAAGAGAAAAACAAGTTCACATATCGTCAATTTTGTATCAAGCTAACAGTTTTTTGCTCTATTGATAACGAGGTTATTTCAGGTAGACGCGACCATGCAGTAGCAGGATAACAGGAGTAGTTTTAAATTCCTAAAGCAATTGAATAAAGGAATAATGTATTACATTTTCACTTTTTCAGGCTTTTAAAAATGTCTTTTTTTAAATTTATAAACAGTGGAGGGGATAGTGGATTCTGCAACATACAGATCTCGCAGGACTTACGTCTCCACTGGACTGTAAGAAAACATTCTCTAATATCATTATAGATTGTGCTCATACCATATAATTTATGTGGTCCAATTTGTATGCCCTTTGAAATGCAGCAATCGGCTTTCAATATGTTATAATAACAATCACACATGTATAATTGTATTATTGTCTATAAATGGATTCATCTCATAAAACGTGTAAAAGAGCAAAACTTTACAAAAGGAAAAAAGCAGAAAGTGCGTCCAGGATTCTTTTCTGTTTCTTATTCTCTTCCAAGGAAGACAGGCACTTCATCTATTAGATTTGAAAGGTCTATATTCTAATACATTATTTAAAGTAGGACAGAAATCAATTTGCTGATGAATGTTTGAGTATCATAAAACACTCATTCTGATCATCTTTGCTATTGATTGTGTAAACAAATGAAGAAAAAAAGATCCGAACAAAAGAACATAATTATTATTATGCATAAGAAAGCTAGATAAGTTTAATGTCACTTCTAAGTATCTACGTATACAAGTAAGAGCATTCACTGTCGACCTTTGATCTCCTTAATTAAAAAGAAAGAGTGATCCTGAGTCAAAATTAATATAAAATAAAAACCTTAAAATGGCATAAACATGATCAATGTCAGTTAAAACAAGGTCCAATAATAGGTTGTTCTTAAAGATAAGATGATTATGAAAGATAAAAATTACCTCGTACATGTAATATCAATTCTTTGTCATTGACCTGCCTCTGTATAAAATATTATTGACTTAGGGCATGGGCTTGAACATTTATCATTTTGGAAAAGTATCACCAAATGTAGGTGATAGTGGAATATAAAAATACATAAAGAAAGAAAGTTTACGATAGAAAAAGTTAAATCATCGCGTAGTTCATCCCTTTACAAGGTAGGTGAGAGTTGTCCATTCAGTAGTTAGTAGAGTGACCAAATATGAGACGAATGTCGAAAATTATGTGGTGTCCTTTTAAATAAAAAAAAGTTAACTAGGATATATATAAATTTGATTTTTAAAGTATACTGAAAATGATAAATCTAGTGAAAAGGGAACAAACTAATTTTTTATTATTGCAAAATATTCTTTAATTGTCTTTACTCCTCTTTCAAAGTGATATTAATATCAACTTTTAAAATACCTATCGACTACATTAATTTCCATAAGCTTCTATTATAGTAAATAAAAGATAGGATTTTTCTAAACCTTGAAAGAATATACCAGATGTATCTGTAGTAAATCAGCTTATTGCGACATTAATATTTCGAACTGTATCACCTCAAATTATCAAATCATCAAAATGCGATTTCTTAAAATGAAGAAATATATACGATATCTCAAATTTATATAAATAATATTGATATGATGCTGAAAGATATTCAGTGTCTATTAATTTCCAACAATCAAAAAAAGTTTCAGAATAAATCAAATAAGGAAATTAGAATTTCAAGAATCATAAAATATACAAAATTTCAAGTTTGACTACAGAATTATTTTATTGAACAAAACATTGTTGGATACGCTGGTTCAAGATTAATTATTGAATGTTGTTCTTTATTTACAGAGACACATGGATGATTGTTATGATTGTTGTCAGTTGTTTGTCAATGCTAGCTGTTCCATTTGTAATAATTTTATGTATAAAATGTGGATGCTGTAAAGTAAAACAAAGAACCTTCCCGGGTCAAAGTAAGTAAAAGACTCTTGAAGTAAAAAACAAAAAGTAAATACTAGAATTTCGCTTCAGTCTGCATCTGAATTATTATAATATATAGAATACAATGTATTTCAAAGGAATAGCAGACATGTGATTGTTGAATTTTTAACATCAAATCTAACAGATATATGAATGTTCAGTTAGCTACAAGAACGATCTCTTCTACGGAAAAGTAATTTGCTTCTTTAGAACGATTATAAACAAATAAACGAATATCGTATCATAATCCTACGTTTTTGTTTTTAAACAACAACGCAAAAAAGTCTTTACAAGATATAATTCTGAAATTCAGTCAACTGAATGGTCACTGTAAGGGTTGGGATAGTGAATAATGCTAATTCTGCTAACTAGTCACATTTCATTAAGCCTTCACTCACCGTTCACTTAACTGATTTACATGGTTTCAATGTGATCATATAAAATGTTCCTTAAGTTTACCTATGATATTAGAAAACATTATTGAAATATTTTTAATATAAGTTGCGAATATTGTCAGAAATGTCCTTTTTCATGATAATTTTATTAAGGTACTCTGTACAGGGATATTTTGCCCCGTCTTTTCACACTTTAAAACAATTTTGCCTTGTTTAATATTTCCCAGTCACAATTTTGTTTAAGAAAATATGCTGCTTTTTTTTTTAAATTCGCCCACCTATGAGTAGGACCTAACGGACCCTGTTTACAGTGTTAAAACATTGTATATTATTTTGCAATTATATTCAATTCGATGTTTTCAGAATGATTGTGGATTGCGTTGCAATATTTCAGATGTAAATTTATTCATAAATTTTATCAAATAGTGTAAATTAACAAAATCGTATCAATGATGAGAAAGCCAAATTTGTGGGTATTTTCAAAAATGATAAAAAAAAAAATTGAAAGGCATTTCTTTGAAAAAAAAAACCTCTACCTTTTAGCAGCGGTACCACTTGGACAGCAGTATGGACAGCCAGGGACAACAATGTATGGTCAGCCTCAAAGCGGAATGCCTCCACAGTACGGACAACCACTTCAGTACGGACAACCATCTCAGTACGGACAAACAAATCCATTCGGACAGCAAAGTTCATACGGACAACCAAACGGTTTTGGACAGCAGAGTGCCTTTGGGCAACCAGACGAAAATCAGTTTTCCTACAGTTCTCAAAAATACTAAACAAATATTCACGTTAGTTAATGTTATTTTGAGAATAAATTGATGTTAATATTTTTACGCATTATCTTCCACAATAGTACTGTTATATTTTCTGTTGTTGTTTATTATATTTTTTTCTTTATGTGGATAATTAATCAATGTGTATTTTATAGAAGTTTAATTTATTCTGTTTTTCTACACTGTTATGTTTTATGACTGCAAAAAATGCTACTAGTATTTGTCGAATCACTGGTTTTAATGAGTGCAAAAAGTCCCATCTATTGAGATCCACTGCTGGAGAATGAGTATGAATTCTTAGGTTTAATCATGTGTATCAATATTATAGCATCTGTTTTTTATCAGTATTAATATTTGAGTAAATTATTGCTATCAAAACTTAATTTAAAAGTCAATGTTTCTTAACGTTGTTTTTTTTTATTGTAAGACTTATATTTCATTGTATATTTTTGGACTCTTATGAGGAATAATTTATTTACACGAATAAAAGAAAACTCTTGTGACCTCAATTCAACATTTAGACATATCTACTGTGTGTTTTCAATAAACACTATTGTATATACATTCAATCCTTTATTGAGTTAATCCCACTGAACTTGAAACGAGAGATCCACAGAATCTGACCCATTTGATACATATTTGAAAATTTAAGACATTTACTACTACATTCAAAAGTAAAACCAATCTTTAAAATTTCGCAGGAATACGAAAAGAGAATTATGGCCCTTGATCTTTGATTTAAGAAGACAGAACCTATTTTAAGCCACAGGTATCACGATATCGATCTGTCTTTTGTGTTTCAACACATTTATTGGTTTAGTTTGGATTTGTCCTGTGTATTATAAATCTTTTGCACTATACACTGCAAGGAATTAAAATTTAGTTGAGTTATAAATCACGGATTTAATCTCTTAATCAGTGTAACGCAAAGGCAAATCAAAAAGATTTGGTAAGGACAGCCAATATGCAAAAAAAAAAAAAAAAAAAAAAAAAAATTCGTTTTAACTTATCCAGGTTTCAAAATTTTTGAATTGATTATGTTCCTTTAAAATTTTCAATCAATTAATAATCTCAATCTTTATGAAAACAATCTCTTAATTTCTTAGGAATTCTGACCGACATGGATTGAATTACAATTTAATGGGGTCTCCGATGGCTTTCCATACATGAATCTAATAAGTTATGGTGAAGCCCCTTTATTGCACTACATACTATATTTGTATGTATATCATAGATTTATATAATTATATTACCGAGAATGTGCATTCTATCTGATACGAAGAAATTTATTATAATAAAACATTTAAGAAAAAAAATTTAGATCAGATTTTAAAAAATCTATTATAACCGTTAAACCAGTGAATTTAAATAGTCTTATTATTAAGCCGTTAAGTTACTTTCTAATGATAAAATGAACCGTATTAATACAATGAATGATAAGTGCATACTTGTTTAGACATTGAATTAGTTAGGAGTAAACAATGTGTACCTATTAATTTGTGTCCTTCCAACAATGAAAAGAAATAATATCATTGTAACGCTGATGAATTAATGGTTGTGTATTTGATGATTTTCATACAGTTTATGCAGTATTTTGGTAAATTAAAATATAATGCAATAGTGGACTTTTACGAAAAGGGATGACATTAACAGTTGACAGGTTATTCCTAGGTCACATGTAAGCCAATGGTGGGGGGGGGGACTTAATTTTTCTGGTCTTGTCGGCTGAAAAAAACATGATCAGCCGAAGTATTGGGCGACACAGAGCAGTCACATTGATAAATAGGAACACAGATGACTTGGATAAATAACATTTTAAAAAATCTTTTTTCTTTAGAAATCAGCAATATTTGTCATAGATCTATAAATGTAATATGACTTGCACAAGTTTGCACAACGTTAGGCTCTTAGTTAACAAAGGCTTTGAAATGAATGACCGTTCTCGGTTTATTATAGAAAATCGCCAATAATTTAGGTAGGTGCAATAAGTAATGTTAGCAAAGACGAAGTGGCAGAATTTTGACTCAATGTTGAAAATGTGTGCAAGTTTGTATAGAATTGCATAAAAAACGACAAACGGCGCATATTTAAGCAGCAGAGAATACTTAAGATTTCTTTATATTATACGGATTAATTATCTATGTTATTTCCGTTATATATAATCCAAAAAACTTATAATATAAATCCACACACGTATTGTTATAATAAAAAATCACAACACCGAAATAAACTCAACCGGTTTCATTTCCAATCTTCAGGAGTTTGACAATACAATGATCAATGATTTTGTGTAACTAAGCATTGTATTGTCAAACTTTTTTTTTAGTTTATTTCGGTGTTGTGATTTTTTATTATATATATAATATGTATATATATATATATATATATATATATATATATATATATATATATATATATATATATATATATATATATATATATATATATATATATATATATATATGGATATATATATATATATATATATATATATATATGATGTTCTTTTACTGAGTTTTATTAATGGCATAATTGTATTTTGTATGTAATTTTAGTATTTTAATGTTATAATTTCGAACACATATATGAGTATGGGTTAATATTTTATATGAGTTTTTTTCATACCTTTTAAATTATGTTTACTTGCGTTTTATTGTACAGCGCTTTAGAGTTAACTTATTCATATTTTGCGCTTTATAAATTCATATATTATTAGTATTTATAGTAAAGAGATAATGTTTTGTGTAACTCAATCCATTGAAAAGAAAAGAAAACGTGTCCTCTAAACAGAATGCGGATATATTGTGATGTTTCTAGTATTTGATTAATTTTTCTTCATTTACAGAGATACTTCGGTTGTAATTATTGTGGTCCCTTCTTTGGCAATGTTAGCTGTACCAGTGGGAATACTTATATGTATAAAATGTGGAGTTTGTAAAGTATACCCAAGAATATATCCAGTTCAAAGTAAGTAACAATTGGATAGATAAAATCAAATAACTTTATACGTATATTTGTTTACTTAACTTTCAGTGATATTTAAAACTACTCCTTAAAATATCTTTGCCAACAAGGACAATGCTATTTTTTATATCCGTTTCTTCAATTCTTCATCTATTTTTTTTTTAAGGACATTTGCAAAGTTCTATGCATTCGCGATCGTATAATTTTTTTCAAGAACATTTGAACCTGTAATGTTTTCTTTAATGATAAGATTATATGTTGACTTTTAATAATTTTTGTATAGGTTACATCATAGATGCCGAGTAGTATTGATTATATCTTTTTCATGAGGCGTGAAAATAGAGATTTCCAGGCCCAATGAAAACGATATAAACAATAGTACGAGGCAATCTATAATGTAAGCAACTTGTCGCATGTCTGATGACGTAAATTTCACTGAGAGTGTCAAAATTCAATAAAAAAAAATGTTGACCTGATTTCTGCCTCCAGCAGTGATATTTGAAGGGGCGTGGAAAATATTATTGTATATGTGATATGGGAAATATCACCACAGAAAGATCAAAGAAAATCACTGCAATCTGCAACAATTTATTTTATTTTATTCATATATGACAGTGTCTTTCAAAAACCGTAAATGTACATGAACAATAATTTTTATTGCACTTTTATCACATGCCTCTGAGACAGTAAAATTTGTACTCGCATCGATTTCACAATTTCATTTCTTTTCTTGAAATAAAATCAATCTAATATATCATCATGTTCATATGGCATCTTAAATTTAGAACAATTTTAGAGCCACAAAAAAAATCAGTATTTCTAATTTACCACAATGAAAAAGGCAGATAGAAATGAAATTTTACAGAGAAATTTACAAATTTTATATAGCAGGGATCCCAGCTAGAAAGATATATACACAACCGGGAGCATCTATATATGGCCAACCTAACAATATGGACAATCAGCTCAATACGGACAACAGTGCGGACAACCAACACAATACGGACAACCAACACAGTTTGGGCAGTACGGACAACAAAATGGTTTCGGACAACCTGTTAATAATCAGTTTTCCTATAGCAATCAAAAATTCTAAGAACGTATTCAGTTCAATTTTGCATAATTAAGAACATAAACTGAATTATTTCACATAAAAGCTAAAATTGAATGTGTTTTATCTACGAAAACAGTATTATCTAATTGACAACACATTCTATATTTCAATCTTACTATTATTTCTTTATAAACGGTTTTTGTAATTAATAAAATGAATTTGAATTTTTATGAAAATACTGGTTTTCTTTCATTTGTTTTAAGGTATGGCTGTCAAATGTTTAATATCAACATCTCTAAGCATGGTTAGCAGTAGTTGCATATGAATACGTACGCATATATAATCAAAGTACTGAAATCACTCATGGGAGTTGAACATAGTGTAAAATTAAATCTTTAATCGGGAGGTTAAGTGAATGAACAATATTATTATTTCAAATACAGACAACTGTTTCAGATTTTTTGAGTTGCAACAATCTTGAGAAAGACATTCAGAGACATTGAATAGCCAAAAAAAAATGCATGGGCCGTAATGCTTGCCTGCCTACATTAGTCTTTTTTTATATACCCCCTGCTTGAAAAGCGGGAGGGTATTTATCAATGGGGATTTCCGTCTATTTGTTTCTTACGCTTTAGGTATACCCATCTCTTATCCGCAACTCCTCTTACATCACTGAACGAAATTTTCATAGAATCTTTATTACATATGCCGTTGCGTTTCTTCTATTACTTTTTCATCCTACATATATTTTGGGTTTCCAATTGTAAAACATGGACACTGCCATTATATTCATATTAGAGGCGGTTGATCATTTATATAATTCACTGCTCAGTCTTTAAATTTGTAATATATTTTTCCTTGGCACCTTTACCAATGTGTTATGAAAAATTCAGTTTCGCAGGAACAATATCAGTGTTGATAAAATGTGGATTTTAACACAGCATCCTTTTAAGAGCTAGCAGGTTTGTTATATAAAACTTCTTTGTGAATATAAATGTATTTAAGTTACACGAACATTATACATGGAGTACGTCAGAGCTTAATATATTTGAATATTGTGAAGAAAAAAGCAATACCAAGTTAAAAACAAATATGTAATGACCAAACATAAAACAGTGGTATATCTGAGAGTTTGTGTGCGTACATATTATCTGGTATGTCAATGAGGTTTTCCTTTTATAAAAAAAATGCTTCATTTTGTTGTTTTTAATCGCGATTTTTCGAAAACATTGGTGTTCGTTTTTGTTTTAACATTTATAACAGGGTTCTAGATTTACCGCTTTTGGCAGGTGATACTGCTAATTTAGTAATTAATAAATACGAATGTTTCCTAAATTTTTTATGCATTAATGCATTCATTTTAACCAAGAAAATGTTCATGAAAAGTTTAAATTAATTCTGTGCACCGGTACCGGTAAAAAAGAAATTGCTAAAAATTCAGGGCCGTCGGGCGTCGGGAAGACTAGATTCACCGCTTGCCGTCAGTATGTAAAGTTGTCGTTCGTATCTCTTTCAGTGTATGACGCTACACTAAAAATGAGTTCCATTACGAAAAACTTTTGAGGTTCTTTATAATTTGATTTTACTCTGAACGAAATCTAATATTCAAAATAAGATTGCTTTATCATTGCATTTACTTACATATGAAATTATGAAAATTAGATCAATTCAGGAGAAAATGGCATGAACTATTTGTGGCGGATGTTTATGCATGTTTTCTGTTGAATATCATCGGAGTAAATCGGTAGACACAGTAGCCTCGCTTTGGGCTCTATATAATCAACACAAATTACTGCGCATGCTAAATGCGTGATGACTATGGGAGATTGAACATAGTCCATTCCCATAAATATCAAACACTTGGGTCGTTAATTTGGCAACAATGTGTCAACACATGTCCCAAAAGTATAGGGAATCATTTCCTCCTTTCATTCTAACATTTCTTGCATTGATAAATTGCAAGGAAAAGCTATAAAAAACTCTTTAATCCTTTTGTGAATAAGAAAGGAAAAATATTAAAACCATGCTAAACTGAATAAAATCGTATCCCTTATGATTTATACTTACATCAAATTGAATAAGAAATCAATGTAAAACTTTGTACAGTGTATAATAAATTATCTGATTTTTCTTAGAAACATTGCAACCTACATTTTATCCATTTAAGGGACAACCATATTGAAATTTGTTGAATAATTTGAACATTGCTTCAGTACACCCCAGAATATACAATTACTGTAAATCACTTTTTATTTGCGAGAGCTTTATTTTTCGCGTAATTACGCGGGTCTGCCCGCTCGCGAAAATTTTATTCCCGCGTATAATTGTACATGTATTAATAATGTTTATATACAACAGAAATCAAAACTCGCAAAAATTTTGTCTCGTTAATAAATACCAAATAGCTAAGTCGCGAAAATATAGTGATCTACAGTATGCCGAATTAGAAAAAAAATCACTAAGTTAATTAATAAATAATCAAGCTCTAAACACTAAAACTTTTCTTTCTTTTTACTCTTAGAAGAATATATTATATAAAGATATTCAGAGTGACACTTTTTCACTCATTTATAACATGGCGTACCTTTCTTATTTCCGCACGAAAAATGTTCAAAGACAATGGACTATTTGTGAGCAGAAATCACTGCTGTTTACTCACATTTAGAAAATTAAGGAAATTAATGAATTCAATTACTTATTCTTGGTCTTCATGCTAAAAATATTCAATTCTATCGTGTATTTAAAAGCAAAAAACAATTTTATTAATCTCACGTCAAAGGGCAGATCACTCTTACTGCATAAAACCATTTGAGAAGTAAGGCTCTTTAGTGCGCAGTCAGTGTTTAGAGCTTCCTAAAGGGGTTTTATTTTATTTTATTATTACAAATATACAATGACCTGAAAGGACAAATAAACAAGGGTAAAACACAATAAATAAAAGTTTGATTGAATTAAAGGGATATACATTTGTAAAAAACAAACCTTATTTCGAGAGAATAAGCGTTTTATTTATAGAAAATAATCCAAAATATATATACAAATACTAGTGTCCATAAGAATTCACGCGTTACGAATTATACATTGGTTTATATGTATTTTTATTTATTTTAACACAGCAATATATTTTCTGCTTCATCGCATATTCTACATAATTTATTTCCTCTATCATTCCGGAAATATCCGTCTGCTTGAAATTCAGACCTAGTTTTTTTTAAATATCGATTAACTGTTTTCAATTCTATCAAAAGTCCATGCAAACAAATATTCATAGCACAGTTTAAACAGATAAGAATTTTCAATGAAAACGATACAGAAAGGGTGATTTGATTTGGAAACAAAATGACGGTTTCAATATTTTTCATGTGCTTCTTATTACCTTCCGTTTTAATAGGTAAGAAAAAGTTATTTAAGTTTTTAAGCAAAACGGTGTATAATGTATTGAGTTTTTTCCCCCATTCAATATTTTTAATTTGCCAGAACAGTATATTGATCTGTTATAGATTCTTTTCGGATTTATGATATCGACAATTTTAAAATACCTTAATAGGAGTAGTTACATAAAGTATATAATGCACCTCGGATTCAAAACCAATTGTTTCACTATATAGATGTCCATTTAATGAATAACATAGTCATTGATTAAATCAGTAAAGCGCCGCAATACTACTTATCAAAACATATGAAAATCTGAATGCCGTTTGTTCATTTCAAGGAATGGAATTGCAGATTACAACTCTATAGATAAAATTTATAGACAAATGTACGTTAATGGAAGCTATACAAAGACCAGGACTGCTTGATTACATTGTAGATGTTGTATTTTTTGTATTTGCAAAGAATACTATATTGTTAAATGTTTAAAGACATCTAGATTCACAAATCGTGACTTACATATATCTAACATAAAGAATAAGACATACCTTTTTTCCATATCACATCCTGTATGAGCCAGAGATATCAATATCATCCAGTAGGCCTTCGGTCTCGATAATGGTCGAGGGGTGATGCAGGATGTGATGTGGAAAAGGGTATGTTTTATTATGTTTATCACATACTTAGCAATTAAATTCTGTACATATTAACTTCAGAAAAAAAATCTGCACGAACTTCCGAAATGTACATAACTTAAATTATTGTCTCACACGGTTTGTGTTCGTGTCTACTTCTATTTGAAATGTGCCCAATCCGTAGTTTTAAACATTTTTTTGTCAATTAGATGATCCTTACAATAAGAAAATTAGAATTAAGAAAATGGGTATCCCCAAAATATGTGTACTACCACAAGTAATGTTCTCTGAGGTTTTTCTAATATTGATCGGTATCAGCCCCAAAAATCCATATCAGCCCTCCTGGGCTGAAAAAGCTATTGTGACGTCAGGCATAACGAAAAATTCTGTATTTACCTGTTTGTAATAAATGATTGTATCCTTACTAAGAACACATTGACAAGCATGGGAAGCAAAAACGTAATGTCAATGGTTTTATATTACTGAGTCAAAGTTCAAAAGTTCATATTATAGTAAATCAGAGTTCCAAAGTTTACACCATAGTGAATTTAAGTTCCAAAGTTTTACTATAGTAAATCAAAGCACCAAAATTTTCAAAATAGTAAATCAGAGTTTCAAAGTTTTCATTACAGTAAATCAAAGTTCCAAAGTTTTTACGTTGGTAAATCAAAGTTTTAATATTTTCTCTATAATGGTAAATCAAACTTCCAAAGTTTTCACTTTGGTACCATAGTTAACTATGGTAAACTTTAATTAATTATATTATTTTTTTGTTAGGGTTATCATAAATTGAAAAACAATATGGTAGGGTCCCTTTGCTTGTTATACCGGAAATCATGCATAATTAGTAGTGCTTGATGTTAAATAATATACTAACGATTTTAAAACAACACATGTTGGTCCCCTAAGTGACTGATGTGATCTTACAAGAGCATAAGGTTTTTATCTGAAAATATTGTACCTTTTTATCATATCTGTTTAATGTAAATCCATTTTTTCAGCGTCGGTGAAAAGTGAATGCCTTTACTATGACTACTACAACTATGTCTACAACTCCTACTACCACTGTTATTATGAAGTGTAAGTTTTTTTTAAACATTATAAAATGCAAAACCTAGCAGATATGATGTAAACGTGTTAAAGTTCCATTTGAATATAAATAAACAGCATATACTAAATATTCGTCACCAATTTTCGTGGATTTCGTTGTTGAAACAGCATATATATACCAATTTGTATTGATGCTTTTGTCCACGAAATTACGTATAAAACGCTGTTTTACAAAATCCACGAAAATTGATATCAACGAAAATTGATGAAACCACAGTATATACCAATAAAATTTGTCCTAATAAAGGCTTACATATTGTATATTCCTTATTTTTTCGCGAGTACTTATTTGAATGGGCTCTTCAACGTCAATCGCGGGAATAATGATTCGCGAATGGACAGTTAATGAAGAGATGTTATATAGATTTTCTATTTCGCGAATGGTGCTTTTCGCGAAATTACGCGATAATTAATTCCACGCGTATACTTAGGAATCTACGGTTGTTGAAATAAGTTCCAGTGTTTTGGGAATGTTTGGTTTTTCAGAAAGGCTGGCAAGGGACATTCTTTTTGCTTAATAAATACCTATTTCTTTTATGTACACTTTACTGATAAAAATATCTATCACCAGTGTTGGGATAAAAAATATTGTAGAAAATTTGAGCTTCTCAAAATGAAAGTGTTAGAGATGACAGACATAAAAGTATTTGCAGATATCGACAGAACTACTGTACTAGTATTTACTTTAAAATCTCTAGAAAATTTTTAATGGTCAATTAATGAAATAATCTGTTTAAACTCTTTTATTATTCTTTAACGCAACAATACTTGAAAAGGGATATTTTATAAGATGCATATGCATTTTAGTGCTTTATATATGAGAGCTCACTTAACGGTTTTTTTTTCGGAAAAGGTTGTTTATCAGAAAGAATTTTTTTAAATATTCTACATACTTATTGTGAGTGGCAAGTCTGTATGATACATATAAAAGTAAATATGTTCTTATCTACGTAGCATTTCATTTGTAAACATTAAATATTTCAGACCTGTAGGAACAATCATCGGGGCTGTCATCGGAGGAATCATCGGACTCATTATCCTCTGTGTCATCGTCGCTGTCATCTGTGTTGTTGCCTGCAAGAAGAAAACAACAGGGAGAGTTATCCATCCCTCAAATGTATCCGCCATTACCACAACAGGTTAATAAAAAAATAACAAATCATTACGAGATAATTAAGAAAAAAAAAACTTTAAATGAATTCAAACTACCAGCAATTTACCATTTACTTGTAACTTCATCGACAAATCATTTGAGAAAAAAAAAATCAATACTATCTACTTAGTATATTACCTTTTTTTCGATTTTCTATACTTCAGCAACATACAACTCGTATCCAAGCTATCCTCAACAGCAAGGCTGGGGTGTACAGCAACACGTATGGGGAACACATCAACAAGGATGGGGGGTACACCTCAGTGGCTCCACTGGACACCACCAGCCACCACCTCCTGTATCTCAACCAATGCCACCACCAACTTACGCTGAAAACGTGATTCAAGGACAACCCCCACAGAATACTACTTAATTTAAATGCTTATAGATTTTTTTTTATAAAGAAACACTTTTCAGTTGATTTCATTGTGATTTCAATGCCAAAGGATTTTTTTTACATATTTTATGAACATGTAGTAATCTATATATGTTTTTCTCTTTTTATGGGAGAAAAAAATCAAATGGCAAGGATAAAAGATATTTTGAAATATTTAAAGTAACAATGATTTATGTACAAATTATCTGTTTCCATGCTACACGTAGTTCTGCTTAAAAACGATTTGATTGACTACACTTAAATGAATATTTTCTTTATGTTTTGAGTGGTGCATTATTTTAATAATCTGTAACTTCATATTTAAATTAGATATTCTCAATGTTAAGAGATGGAAAAAATTCAGATTGATCTAAATCATGCTTTCTTTTCGATTCAAATAAAAAATAATTAAAAATATAATAAAAGAATTTTTTAGTTCAGTCAAGTAAATCACGTAAATGTGCAAAATAAGTTTCGATTAGCACTGAATTTCCGAAATACAGATAACAGTTTTATCACAGCACGTCATTGCTCATAGTGAAACCCTGTTTTACAAAAAAACTTACGACTAAGACCAAAATGTAAATTTGCAAATGACTTTTTAGCTAACTACTTTTTCCAAAAAAGTTTTAATATTCTTTTCAAAGAATATTAAAGATATTTCATTCAATCACTTTTTAACAGAATCATTGATGTTGCAAAACTTTTAAATCGACTACACTTTTTGGTCTTTGTACGTCCTTTCATAAAACAGGCCCAATGTCTTATTGATTGCCAAAATGTAAAGGTTTGACTCCATAATTTTTTTTTATCCAAAAGACTTAAATTTTCCCAATGTCTTATTGATTGCCAAAATGTAAAGGTTTGACTCCATAATTTTTTTTTATCCAAAAGACTTAAATTTTCCAAAGGATATTCGAAGAAAATTCTTAGAAATTACAGGAGATTGCACAAGTATTAACTTGCAACGTCAAAAATGGTACCAAGAAAAAATTAAATAATTATAAGAAAAACTATTTTTAAAGATCGATATATGAATGAAATAGTTTATTCTTATCTGACAAAGTGTCATCAATGTATCTTAGATACTACGTCCCCAAATGGATTTTTTCATGTAGAAGTATTTGAATAAAGTCCGTTTCAAAGTTCTAGTGTATTTAAAACAGGTTGACTAATAAAAGACACAATTAGTGTCCATCAGAATAAATTGTTTCTTCTGGAACCTCCCTTACCATCACCAAAAATCACAAACTTCATACTTGTGCAAATAATATTTAACGCCTAGATGCATTAAATTTAATCATTGCACAAAGTAGAAAAAAACATTTTAACAAATGACTTGTAATAAAATGTACATTTGTTTATAACTTCCTAATTTACTTTTTCAAAATTGGTTTTAATATCTTTATAAGTACATTAAAGAATATACTAACTTCCATACAACCACACTAGAAACTCATTACGAGTAATGAGAAAGTCTTTCGTTTTACTTCTTCCTCTTGTTTGTCTTTTCTTACTTTGGTGTTAGCTAATAACTTACGTAGAAGCAAAAATACTTTTAAAAATCACTTTCCACATCAATTTTACATGATGTAAATAAATTGATGACTTACTATCTTCTGTCCTGAAAGGTTTATGTTTTATTCATTTACTGTTACTGAGCCATTGCATGAACAAATTCAAATTTGAGGACAGGAAAAAAAACGATTCTCTAACATTAATTTCTCTAGACATTTGTAGTATCTACAACATATATAAAACTATTTTAAAGTTTATCTAAAAGCGATAGGTAATGAGAAAATTTAACATTGAAAAAACTTAGTTTTCTCTTAAACCGCAGAACGACGCTTTCTTTTTTCTAGTGGAATCTAGCATATTTCAAAACACGAAAGAAATGCAATAAAGTAATGTCAGATGTAATTTTAAAAAGAAAAGTTAGTGTTACTTATTTCATTGATCACTTTTTGTGACGACCGGAAGTGACGGCTGACGCGCTTACTCCTGTGTGTTTCGCTACCTCTTCAAGGTCTATCACTTAGGTACGTTTTGTGTCTCTTGTTGTTTCCAAGATCTCGCTCAGATAACTTCTCATTTTGAGGACATGAAACACGCGACCGGAAGTGAATTTTACAAAGATATGTGACATTCTTCTAGATATGTGCAGTTTGATTAACAATAAGATATCTAAAACTTTTTAAATACTATATTTATAAGTGATTATTTACGGGAAAGTTAAACATCGAAATAAAGATGTTTATCTCTTGAGACCGGGAGTTGACGTTTTTATTTCCGTTGTAATGTAACATTTTTCAAAAGATCAAAAGAGAATCACTGATGTGAAGCAAGTTTTAATTTTAAACAGAAAAATTAATAATTTTTTTTATTCTTCTGATCACTTTCTGTGACAATCGGAAGTGACGGCTGCCGCATTTAACCCTATATCAGAGCCTCGTCGGATAGAAATCGACCTTATCGTATGCAACGTCATAATGAGAAATAAACAAATAAAGTTAAGAGAGATTTCCCGGTATTTTGACTACACATGGTTTTCACGTTAAGGAATGTTTTAGACATCGTCAACTGCAGTTCAAAGATTTTTTTCTTTAAAAAATCGGATTTTTTTAAAAAAAATGTACTTATAAAATGAACAAATTTTAAATGTATTTCCCTTTGTAGAGCCTTAACATTTTTATTGTTACCATGGATCAATGTAAACACAGGCCAGAGGAATTCCGAGTCAGATCTACATTTATTTTTTTTTAAACAGAAGAAGACGTGAGGTTTTATCTAACACCAGATGTTAACAAAAAATAAACACACATAAGATTGCATATACACAGTAACAAAGAGTCATCATTTTCAGAAACTTGTTTAACTCGTGGAATTCCATTTCCCATAAAAAAAGTCTGTATTTTGCTTGATTATGTCTTTTTTCTGCTAAGAGACTCTGGCATAAATAAACTATATATACTGATCAACCATAAAATGAATCCAAAGTTAAAGAAAGAAAGGTTTACATCAAACGGGGCTTCTAGATTGTTCGCTATAGACCATGCGTATATACTGCCTCCTATTATCGGAGCCAAGGTCCTGAAAAAGATATAAAATCTTGAAAATGAAAAATACAGTAAAACTTGTCTAACCCTGATCTTGTGTAACCCGAAATCTTGCATTATGCAATGTTAAGTCCAATTTCAAAAACAAGAGGCCAACGAGCCTTATAGGTTATCTAAGTATCATGTAACAACTTCTTAATAAATGAATTTGGTTTGTGTTTTAAACCAGAGACCATGAAATTCATAATTTTGATAGAGGCACCATTGATTATCATAATTATACATTAACATGCTTACTCTAGTTACTTTTTACCCAGAGACAGGGGAGATTTACAAAAAGGAAATGCATTTCAACTTTATAACCAGTTGTGCACCCCATTCCACAGGAACCACTCACCCTGGGGTCACATATTTTAAAGTTTGGAAATTTTATCATAAATTTTATTTCATTATAAATGGTTGATCAATACAACAGAGCAGATTTCAGAACATTGATTTATTTTGAGACTATGTAACCTCCTCAATACCCCTGACCCAGGGGGCATGAAATTAATCATTTTGCTAGATGCACTTTTCTTTGTCTTAAATATATACAGTTAGATCACCGACATAATACACAGGTGCAAAGAAAGGATATGAAGATAACGAACAGTATTTAATATCAAAGTCCATAAAACAATACAAAATAGGGGCAGAGCAAACACGGGCCTTCGAAACATCAGAGGTGGGATCAGTGCCATGGAGAAATGAGCATCCCCTGACGACCGATCATGAACTCATGATCGGGAAATAATGGGAAAATCCGTCTCAATTCAATGTATAAATAATGGACCAACAATTAGTATTAAAATGTCAGCCAGCAGCTGATTTAAAGATAAATTGTATTTGCCGAGAAGGTCCTGGTATCGACCATAGAACTTACGAAACGATGACTTTAAACGAGACTGCTGATATTCTTGTTTCAAAGAATTCATGCATTTTAACCATAACACCAGAACCCCTGACCTTCTACCAAAATCTTACAATTTTTGAAGATGTATCCTTCCTCATCATAAGAATGCACACATTTTATTGGTCTGTTACCCAGGAGCAGAGAAGATCTTTAGAGAATCAAGGTATTTTCACTATATAATCAATGGAGCCCCCTCCGTAACACCAGAACCCCTGAGCCTAGGGCCATTAAATTCAAAATTCTGGAAGAATACCGGTAGTCAATAGAGCCCCACCCTAACACCAGCACCCCTGACCCTGGGGTCATGAAATTTACAACTTTCGAAGAGGCACTCTTTGTCATCATAACTATGTATTTGGTTCGATAGTTTAATAGCCAGGAGCAGAGGACAAGATTTTCAAAAAAATAATGCATTTTTACTATATGATCTATATAGCCCCACTCTAACACCAGAACTCCTGACCTAGGGGACTTGAACTTTACAATTTAGTTAGAGGACTCCATGCTGATTACAATCATGCCAACACTTTGACTGCTTGATGTTCAAAAGTACGCCGGAAGATCTTTAAAGATTGCATTAATTTTAGCGATTATGGTCCCAGGTCCAAGATAGACATGGACCATGAAATTCACAATTTTTGTTCCCTGTCACCCGTAGATGCTGTTTACCAAATTTGGTTGATATTGGCTCAGTGTATCCAAAGAAGAAACAAAAAAAGTTCAAAACTTTACGACCGACGAACGACGTACGACGACAGACGATAACAGATAGCAATAGGTCACCTGAGTTGACATAAAAATCATTTACTTATATGAAATGTTATCTGATTCAGCCAAATTCCTCGAAACCAGTGATGCCCGGATTAAATATATATTTTTTCACCTGAATGTTATGTTAGAGAAAAAATCCAAACATTTACCTCGCAATAGCTGTTGAAGTGGTGGCGATACCATTGACGGAGCCCGCCATGCGAGGCGGTGATGAGTTATTGATGAAGAGAGACGATGCTGTGAACAAACAACTGGTCATTATCTTCTGTGGAACAATCAGGACAAGGAGAACCGCCCATAGAATGGAAGGGGAACTGGTAAACCAGAAGAACTATGGTAAATTATCAATTTAATGTATCACTAGTACATGTATATCACAATGACTTTTTTTTTTTGCAACCGATTTTTGCTATTTTATATTTCAATTATGGATACTGAAGGTCTTTTTGTGTCTGTTTTGCTACTTTCTATAAAACTTCAAAATTTAAGTTTTGAATTAAAGGAGATGAAGACTCTTCACAAATTTAAGTTTTGAATTAAAAGAGATGAAGAACCTTCACAAGAGTAATGTCCTTAACGATTCACAAAATCAACTTTATATTTGTAAAAACAGTTTACCCAATATTTATTTTGATTGTTCTTCGTTTGAGAGGTACACACCAGCAACTTATAGGTATGAAAATGACCAATTCGTATTTTAAATTAACTTTAAACATAAAATTACGCTCTGCAATACTAGTAGTCGAATTAAAAGTGGTTTTATATAGACTATTAAATGAATAATGTTATCGGTGATCGGAAAGAAAGAAAAAATGCTTTTCTATGATTTAACCTTCAAGTTGATGATTTCACTTAAATATTCTTTCTTAATTTAAACACATATCCATAACATTTTTCTTCAATTTCTGATTGTTTTTAGAACATTTTTTTTTATTATATGACCCTTCGTAAATGGGAATATGGCAGATCCTATGATTTCCTTGACTTATTTCTTCTTTCTGAAAGGTGTTTTTTTTTCAAGATTAGAAAATGAAACAAATTAAAGGGTGAAATATCTTGCCAATATTGTTGTGTCAAAAACATTAACTTTCTGTTTATCATCATAACTACTTTACTTTTCATTATTTTTGTTATAATTATTTTATTAATTTATAAAGCGCACAATCACATATAGTTTCTGTGCGCTGTGAGTTTGCGTGGACACTGTCATAAGAAATTTAATGTAGTGGATTACTGATTCTGTTTCCACTCTCTCATAAACCTTAAGTTTCAATTTTTTGCAAAAATTTGCTTTCTAGACCTCCAAAAATTTACATATGCAGAAGTGTCAAAATTTTGCAGCAGGTAGCGGCGTCTACATATGAGTGAAAAAAATAAAGTTATAATAAATAAACATTTAAACGAAAGTACGTAAGAACATGCTTTTGTGTATAAACTGGGCTAACTGAATCAACTGGGGGGAAGGGGAGTGTATCCTTATTCAGGTGATAAGGTATATTTCTATATACTGTAAGTAAGTGAAGTTGACGTTAAAAAGTTTGAAGGCCTCCATTTCATCATAAAGCTTAATTGTTAGGTTACTAGTGAAATATTCAAATATAAAACAGATTTGTCTCAAAGTGATAAATGCTGGTACATGTACCGATATACATGTTTACAAACCTTGATTCAATAAGATGTAACATGGGTGTAACAGTTATTAAAATTCCATTTATACATCCACAGATTAGAAATGTCTGGAATGGAGATATAAAGAATAACAATCAAAAGAATGCAAATAATTTCTGTGAACAGAGCCTAAATCGTGGCACCTGATCCCAACTCTGATGTTTTTGAGGTCTGTTTTTGCTCTGCTCCTATTTGTATTGCCTAATGGACTTTTGAGCTTGAACAGGTTGGGATCAATCGCCCAAATGGGATATAATAATCCGTTTGGGATATAATATTCCAAATGGGCTATAAATTTACAATGCAAAAATTGAAAAAAAATTATTTTGGCAATAAAAAAAACAAATCCGCATCAAAACACATAACAAGAGGCCCATGGGCCACATCGCTCACCTGAGTAACTTTTGTGATGCATTTCTTTACCAGATTTCCCCTCTTATTATATCTATTTTGGCCCCTTAACCCCCCCCCCCCCCCCGTTTTGATTTTAATAATTAAGAACTACACTATCCCAGGATGCTTCCACCTTAGTTTCAGCTTTTCTGGCCTACTAGTTCTTGAAAAGAAGATTTTTCCTATATATTTCTATATAAAATCGGATTCCCTTTTTTGGCCCTGCCCTACCACTGGTGTCATGATTTTAACAATTTAAAATCTACATTAGCCCAGGGTGATTTCACATATGTTTCAGCTATCCTCGCCCACTGTTTGATTTCCTATTGTGGCCCCGCCCTACCCCCGGGGATTATGATTTTTACAATTTAAATTTTTCCTTACCCCAGGATGCTTCCATATTATTTTCAGCTTTACGGCCCAATGCTTCTTGAGATGATGATTTTTAAAGATTTTTCCTATATATTTCTATGTAAAACTTTCCTATTGTGGCCCCGCCCTAACAATATGTGGCCCTAGGGTCAGTGGTTCCTGTTGGGTGGGGTGCACAACTGGTTATTAAGTGGAAAAACATTTTCTCTTTTTACTGTGATCTACCTCTGGGTATTAAGTAACTATAGTAGGCATTCTAAGCGTATATTTATGATAAGCAATGTGCCTCTTTCAAAATTGTGAATTTCATGACCTTTGATTTAAAACACGAACCAAATGCAATTGTTGGAATGTTGTTGCATGATACTCAGGTGACCTATAAGGCCCGTGGGTGTCTTTTTTTTTAATTATTTACCTGTTATATAAACCCTCATGCACATTGATCATCTAGAACGTGAGTAACATATACAGTGGAGCCTCGTTAATCCGGACGCTTTGGTTCCTAGTCAATTTGTCCGGATATGTGAAGCGTCCGGATACCTGAATTACCAGTTAAACAAGATATAATAACGTTTAAAGAATTAAAGTTCAGATGAAAAGTCGTCCGGATACCGAAGCGGATATCTGGCGTCCGGATATCTGAAGGTCCACTGTATTTCGAAGTTGTATACGTTAGAAACATTAACAAGTGAGCACACCTCAGAGTTGATTGTTTTTGGACCAAGGAATAGTCACTTGAAATTGAATATTCACCGACAGCACAGCACGGAGAAAGCTGTCAACAAACGGACTTGTACAATGGAGAGGAGAAAACCATCATTTTTATCATTGTAAATCATTTGTATATAAATTTGAGCATAGAATAAGTAAATTATGATGTTCATATTGTATTAAGTGTGTAAAATGCTTGGAAAAGTGCATGACGTTTTTCCGAGAGCGTTTAAAAAATAGGCCTTTTAGAAACACACGTACGCATTATTGTAGTTAACCAAAATTCAGCTCATTGAGCTGATTGGTTGATTTGTCAGTCAAGTTGGTTCCTCACTTAACATGTAAATTTATTCCTACTTCACATAAAATAGTTTCCTCTACCTGTCAAATAAAACCTAACAATTTATTTTATGACCATGAAATAAAATTATGCCACCATTCTTCCGTGATATATGTGAACACTAATTGGGAATTTACAACTGAATTAGTTTTTAATTTAGAAACAAGTTATTAAAAGAGTACATTAAAAAATATATAAATATACATAAACAGTTGAAAATACCGGGAATTGGGATTTATTTCTTTTTTGTTTGCTTGGGTTTACCAGGAGCCAGTTTCACAAAGCTATCTTATGACTAAAATCTGTCTTAAAACCGAAAATTATATACTGAAAGGAAAAAGAAACTCATAATAAACTTTTGAATAAAATTAAAACTTTTATTTCCAATATGTTTTCCGGTATTATTATCAAACAATTTAATATAACTTTAAACAACAAATAACCGAAATCTTGGGTGACTTTGATTGATAATTGCTGAGTTATTGAAATTGATATGTCGATACCCCCAAAATTAAAATAAAATTTCTCATCATCTCCCTTGCACATCAGTAACAGCCTTGATTTTCTTGTGAATTGAGTTCATCAGCTAGCATTTATCTTTCTTATAGAATTATCATTCAAGCCTTCCGACGATAGTCTTAATGGTTGAGAGTAGCTGTGTTATATCAATCCCAACAAATCCCTCCGCCCAATAAATCCCACGAATTTTCGATTTAGGATAGAATTTACAGAATCTAGCTGATTTGGTACACGTGAATGTTTGTAAGGAAGTCCCAACAAACACTGGCTACATTTTCTCAGCGTGTACATGCTAAAAACAGTACGCATACAGCGCACACGTGCGCGTGTGAGAGTAAAATTGACATAAATTTGCCAAGCATGCGTACAAAATTAGGACATCTAGAGTTTCTGTCAGTATTAGGGTGAAAATATGAGTCTGACTGTCTGTTGTAAAAATATCAGTGTCAGTGATAATGACTTGACAATAACCGAGGTAGCATGATCAAAAGCCCTATCTTGATGTGACGTTGTTACGCGCCAATGTCACCGTCATGGTTGGTTGGAAACCTTTTAAGTTACTCTCTGACAACCGAAAAAACCTTTTTGGTTGAAAATTTAAAAACAAACTGCACAGCAACATGTTGTTGCCTTTTTATTCACTTATGGAAGTCAATTACTAGACCCTACGTAACTTCTGTCTGCCATACCATGATTGCAAGAAATTTATACTAACTGCAAATATCGGAAAACGATGTTTGTAACTCTAATGCATCGATTGGCACTACAAATTGGGATCACAAAAATGTCATCATCAACATGCACGTGTATTTGACTTTTATCACTTCCCATACGTAACGCCACCTAACCCCCGGCGCAAAAAATAATTTGCCAAAAAATAAAGTGCACAGTAAAAATTACACATGTGACCAATTTTATGTTTCTCCACGAAGTTAATTATTTCAAATGCTATTTTTTTCTTTTCTTTGTATACATGTATTAAATTGCACCATAGCTGTTTTACAAAACTGTCATATCTTATGAAAATCCATATATCATTTATGTATAACTTTTTTCAACAATTGTTTCATTTGAATTCTAAAGTGCAGCCGGTGAAAGTATATACAATAACTAAAATCAATGGATATTCAAAGATAATTTTTAAAATGGCATTATTAGGCCAGAAGGAATGATGACACCCAGGTTATTTATTGACAGGTTACAAATATCAATTTGCCAAAAAATAAAATATGAAAATATATGCATGTACCTACTTTATGTTTTTCCATTAATTAAAAATAAAACTATTTTTTAGCTACACTGCATTTTTAAGGTCCCAGACTGAAATTTCCCCAAATATATGTTTTGTATCTCTTGTACATGTATATAAAAACTTTATATCATTTACATATAACTATTCAAAATGATTTCCATTTGTTTTCAATTTATTTTAAAATATACTATGACCAAAAATTGTGTTATGAGCAATTTTTAAAATGGCCCATAATGGGTTATATAAAAAAAATATGTACATGTAGTTTATTTATTGATAGGTTACATTTATATTTTTTGTAAACAGAAATATGTTTATATATGCTTTACCATTATATACAAATTCCATGAAAGAAAAATTATATATTTTTGAGGAATGTGTCGTCTGACCTTAAGACGTTTTACTTTATTTTGTTACATTATGGTGATTATTTTTTAGAAATTAGAAAGTAAACATTTCATTTAGTCGTGCAAAATTAGATGAAAATAAAAAAAAATTATTCTTGGGTATACTTCATTAATCTACCGAAATCTGTATGAATATCATGCGGTAACATTTCATGCTCTATGTACATGCTTTCAACATTCTTTCTTAATAATACTGAAATTATAAAATTTTGATTGGAAATTGTTCTTTCGTTTCTTTTCTTCATCCGTTAGCATTGTTATTTTGTTGTAGTAGCTTAAGCGTTCTAAAGACACCTTCATCGAATTTTATGAACTTTGAACATGATTTGGTGATTCAAAAGGATTCATTGCTAATTTGCTATAATCATTCATTAATTGCAAAGGTTCAGATACTCAAGTAGCTTTAATAAAAAAAAATCTCATAAATTTCGTCAGCAACTACTATTTTCTGAGCAAGAAGAGATCTAAACAAATGTTATTCAATTGTTTTTTAAGTGTTGAAATTAATTCAGATTTATATTTATGACCCAACCCCCAACACACAGAAACACACACTATAATTACATTAAAGTTGATGCAATAAAATGTTTTTTCCCGAGGGTATATCTGCAAAATTAAGGAAAGACAACTAAACTTCGTGCAAACTTATTTTTAACAAAAATCTCTGTGAAATTGAAGAATGAAGTTCGTCTAAAGATTTATCTTAAGATTTCTTATACTTAAGATAGTTTTGTGAAACAGCAGTGACAGATTTTATGATTGGCATATTAGTCAGATCTTAAGATGGTCGTAAGATCTATTTTAGGACAAATCTTACGATTATTTTGTGAAACCCAGCCCTGGCAGATATTATATATAAATGTATAAATTAAATGGTATCAACACCTGCTGCGGTTTCAATCGCCTTGGGGCAGAAAATAAATCGTGCATCACACATATTAAGGTACACGTATAGTGTATCAGTGTTACACATCATTGAACATGCTGCTCAAGAAAAATTGACCCTAATTTCAATCTATTTTTAAAATTGTAATGCAAAAAAAAAGATAAATGAAATGTGTATAAAATTCTTTTAAGATTAAGTAATTTTGAACATAATCTTCGGGTTCCATTCTTTACAAATAAAACACTTAAAAACTGAGTATTATAGAGCTAGAGAAACTAAAAATAATTTTAATTGACATGTCAGTAAAAAAAATCTTAATTTTAAAAATGTTATTTGGCATAATTAACAAAGAATTTTTCAAAAGCCCACTGTAAGATACCGTGAATTCAAGAAAATAATGAACCTTAGTATGACAAATGTCAGTCAGCATTTGACTTAATGATGAATTGTATTGGCTGACAAGGTCATTGTATCGACCATAGAACATACGAACTGATGACTTTAAGTTTAAACGAGACTGCTGATCGAATCAGAATCTTCAACATGCCAGATTTTGTAAATCGCCAAATCTGAAATTATGTCAACCACAAATTCAAAATCTTTTTGGAACTTTTGTATATTTATAATTAAAATAAACACCACCTGTCATCCATAATTAAAATGTCACCATACTATTCTTTTCTTATTTTCATTGTATGTTTATTGCTATACTTTGTACATATGTATATGCCTGCTATTGATTCATAGTTATATTTATCATTTTTCTCACAATTATGACGACTAATTTATAAACAGTACTTCATGTACCACTGATGTTGATGTGAGTGAATAAATGAACTTGTACTTGAACTTGATATTCTTGTTTCATCACCTTGTTCGTCAATAATTTACCTTGTTTTAGAAATTGTACATATGTAGTGCATGTTCCTGCGCATCGAATCATCTGAGAGATATAAACTCTGTAAGTAGGTGATGCTGGTACATGTATATTGCGCATACGTAAGGAAAGTTGACGATTGAAAACTTAATGTCTTACGGGTATCATTGAGCATGGTATAAAAGCTTTTACCGTGGTAAATTTAATAATTTTAACTAAGGATTTCAGATTGTTGTAGTTTATGTTCTCAAATTCATACATGGATATTTTTATATATTAAATGGAACTATTAGTTGTATATGTAAACACTCAATATCAGTTTAAAAGTGTTCATCACTAATATCGAATCTAAGAGATTTTAAGCTTTGAAATCTCAAAAACAAAAGGTCCTGAGTAAAGTTTCATATAAAAAAGTTTTTACTATAGTGATCTATATAGTAAACTATAGTTCGTTTAAGTTAACTATAGTAAATTTTGGTAAGGTGTACACAGTATATAGGGTTTGAAATTATTCTTCCGTCATTGAAAATTTGAAAATATAAATGATAAAAAGGAAGATTCAATTTGTAAGTAGGAAATGATTTATCTATACTCTGATCGATGTCTCTTTCCTAAACAATTATATTGAAAAGCTTTATAATGCAAAACATTTGCTGAGTTTAAAATAGTGTTATTTTCTTTGATCATCATGACTTTGTTTCATGTCCATTTTCTTTCATAGTATCATATATCGTATCAGTTTCTTTTGTTACACTAGGAGTTTTCCCTGCTTTTTTTGATATCAAAGATTACCTTTTTCGTTCCAAATATCCTATCAAGGAATGGATAAATGAAAAGGTTAAGAATCAACATTGGGAATGAAGATAAACCAAGAACCATACCGATTTCATCTGTCTCAAACCCAAGGCCATCTGAAAAAATATATGATACATTATGCCATAATAACAAAAAAGTTTTATTGATAATGGAACAATTAAGAAGTCAATTTGATATACTATTTTAGAACTCTTAAATCCACCTATGTTGAAATAAATGAAGGATATCTGTTACCATAGATTGTTTTGGTTGATGTCCATATTGTAAATATTTCCTCATAACCAATGGACGAGAAAGAAAAGACAGTGTACAGAAAAATAGCCTTTCTACAATCTGGCGTACTGAAACACAAATGAATTTATAAATGAAATAGAAAAAAATATCTGTCAATATAGAACACGGTGAATGTAACAGTGGCATTTGACTTACAAAATATGGATAGACTGTAACATATTCAATAAGTATAAGATAATCTCAGACTGTAGGAGATGAATCACTATACAGTCTTTTTTATATACCGGGTATCTAACGTGAGGTCAATCCGTTAGACTCCCATTTAACAGAGACTTTTGGCAATGAAAGAACATTAAGACTGTGGATAAAATGTTAAAATAATTGCATAAACTTTCATTTCATATGAATTTATTTTAACTATCAATTTTAACTGTAAATTATTTGTAATATAAGCGTAGAGACAAAAAAGAGTTATATAATCTGTCAAATCTCATCATAGAAAATTTACATAATATAATAATACAGTTGTTGAGACAATGAGAAAATATTGCAACCTTAATATTTCAATAAGACTTGTTCCCTTGATTTCATTGAAGATGCACTTGGATATTTTCTGTTCAACTCTTACTGTCCCCTCAGTAGTGTTTTCTGTCGGCGTTTTCAACGCCTTGTTCCTATTGAAGTCACGTGACTTGCGCAGATCTTGACACGACTGGTTTAGTTTGACGTCATATACTGCTCTTTCCGTGTAATAGTGGAGTTCTTCCATTGATGATGAGATCATTCTCTCTGCCTCCTTTGTTTGCTTTTGTTGTATTTTGTGCACCAACTCCTGTAACTCTTCTGAATGTCCCTCTACGTCTAATTCTAGTTGTCTGAAAAGAATTTTTATTGTTTGTATTTTTGTTGCTCTTTGACAACTTTCTTGATAAATCATTACATTTCTCACTTTCTGCTCCTAGTTTCAGGTAAAATCAAGAAATCGACAACAATGACCACCAGACAGACACATGTCACAATAAGACTCGGGAGAAGGTATGGAAAGTGGTCAAACACACCGTCCTTTTGAAACAAAGAGGGATATCTAGTAGCTGGATTGGATAAAATTCCTGCAATCAAGGACAGGGAGATACAATTATATCAAGACTGAATAATGTTCAGGAAAGCAGATTGTGAAATACAAGGTTAACAAGATTTTTTTAGGGTAAACTGTAATATATGAAAAATCATGTACATTTTTATATGTTTATGGCCTCGTACCCCCAACAGCTGGTCCAAGTATGATCCCTGCACCCCAGGACATCGCTATAAAGGTCAGTCCGGTAGCTTGATTAGAATCATCTGAAACCTCGTATAGAACTGCCTTGGAAATGCTTGCGGTTCCTAATAAAAGAATGTTTTACAAAACGATTATATTATTAAAAGACTTCATGTTTCATGCTTCAAAGTATTACCATAGGGAAAATATCATAACTACTTAAAATTAGATAATATTATTAAAAGATTTCATGAAAACTTATTCCCAGTAATAGAGAACAACCTCTAAAGGTATATCAAAGCTTGTTTCTAAAAACAAAATATTGCAAAAAAAAAAAAAAAAAAAAAAAAAAAAAAAAAAAAAAAAAAAAAAAAACTATTTCTTTTTATTAGTTTTACATTATACGAATTGTTCATAAACAATAATCTGGTAAAAATATAAATTACCATTAGCTAAACCAGCTAGAAACCTTATGATAAGAGCCATGTGCAAGTTAGAAGTAAATCCAAACAGCAAACAGAAAAAGCCATTTCCAAATATGGTCATTAGCATGACTGGTCTCCGCCCCATTTTATCAGACAGCCAACCCCAGAAAAAGCTTAATGGAAAATAAATGAAAAATGGTTCAATTTTACAAAAGAAGTCAAGAAAATGCATCATAGACTTATTGCACGTATGCACAAAATCTAGATTATTAAAAGCCAACTTTCGTTTAAGGTCATTGGCAAGGCAGAGTTTCCGGAGAAAAAAGGTTTAATACATGGGTTTTTTCATTTAAGATATACCATGCAAATATAATTTTGACAATTTGTTTCCAATAACTTAAATTACATGAAACTATTGAGCATTTAGAATAATAATTAGATATTAAGGGAAGTAACTCAAAATTGAAGAACAGTGCTGGAATTTTTGTGTCTTGTTTCTATATTTTGCATTTTCAGCCAAAATATATACATGTCATTGGATATAAGGATACAACAATGTATTTTATTCAAAACATCTATAAAATAAATGGGTTTTGGAGAGATTGTATGGTTAAAAATTATGTAGGTCCTTTTTATCTTCATTTAACACAGGAAATGCATCGACTGTGATTGAGAATTGTGAAAGCATTGATTCGACAAAATCTAATAAGGAAGGCTGGCTTGGTGGGTTAAATGAACCAGAATTAAGATGTTTGGTACCATTAAACATGTTCAAAAATTCTCGAAAAATTCTATACTAAAGCCAGAAACGTTGCCAATGTCCTTAAAAAAGGAAATTTATATAAAATCTGTACATTATAAATTAACATGTACTTAATATTTCTTATCTTTAATTCTTTGAAGCTAAAAATTAAGTACCATCTCGTGGATTGGAATGTCCATACCTTCCTACTGCTCTCCCAGCAAACACCATAGAGGCCACCATTCCTGCGTAGTAACCCTTTTCTGTCTCTTGGTAACCAAAGAACTACAGAAAGATTTTCAAGTATGTTGAAATACCTTGATTAAGTGGTAAAACATCGCACTGAAGAACAGCATGTAACTTACCAAAATCATTTCTGGCAGGAAAGGAAACAGAAATGTAAGACTGAGTGTTCCAGTGCACTGAAAAAACAAAGCCAAAAAGGGGTACTTATTATTGTATATACAATATATGTACATATATCTATTGATGTTTTATAATATTAACAAATATTTCACTGCATTGTCACGAGTTCATTCAGCCTAAAAGCCTCCATTTAATTCTGCCATGTAAGATTGAATTTTCCAACGACAATAAGGTAATTTTCTTTGGACACAAAATTGTCAATTTACCATTGAGATGAAAACAAGGCCAATGATTTTCCAATTTACAGGTGTTGTATCTTTTGGTGTTATTCTGATTTTATTTTGTGCTCTCTGCCAGATGGATGATGTTTTTCTCACAATACTTTGTTCTCCAATAGCAGATCCTTCCATATCGTTATTATTTATTTTTACTGTTGAAATCCCTTTCAAATCAACAAAGTTTGTGTATAGCTGACTTGTTCCTTCGTTAATGTAACAGTCATTTATAACATACATGTGTATTTCTATAAAGTACAAAAACAATAGTAAACAATATTATGTGAATTTTAGAATAATGGTTTTTAATTTCACTTAATGATAAGCATGTTTTTAAAAAATCCAAAATGGGAGTAATAAATTAATGCAAATTAAATTTGTCAATTGCAGATTTTGTAGTCTATATTTGTATTTTACTAATAAAGAAAATATACACATAATACACAGCATCACATGATTTTTCAAGGTTATCCACTGCTTAATATGATAGTTAAAACTGCTGTCAAAAATCATGTGATACTGTGGCCCTTTCCTGACATGATTCCAGAATATTTTTCCTTATGGACAGGGAGGATCTTCCGGGGCTGGGTTATGGTTTTGACCCTCCCGTCTTAACGGAATAAATATTCTGGATTCCTATCTGCAAACCTCATGCGAGTTTCTTGAGAGAAAAAAAGAAGAAATGGTTTTCTACCGCGACAAACAATACCCACGACTGAAAATTGATCTGAACCCTTTGAACACGTTGTGAGAAGATCAACCCTTTGCAGCCAAGGGTTTGTTGAATGGATGGATAAAGAAGGTACTTCTATAATTCTGTTAAAATGAGTGAAGAACATAAATCGTCATTTTTGAATCATTTGAAGTATTTAAGCTTTTTATGACACTGTTTTGATTTCACAACATTACAGTTTTGAGCTTTGATTTGAATGTATAGGCTTGTAAAATCTGAACGCGTTGACTGCTTTGGCCAAATTGCATGTCTTTAAGATTGATGAACAAATGATTATGGTTTAGTAAAAGATGTAAAGATCATTAAACTTTTGCACGGATGGAAAATAAACTTGCAGAACTTCTTTTTAAAATCCATCCGTTGTGCTTTTTATTGTCTGGAATAGCCTTAATGGTTTTGAATGTATTAAGTTTATGTAAAATTTTCATTTATGTCATTTAGAGTTCAAGGGCATTAAATGTGCTGAGAAATCTTTTACAATCATTATTTTATTCAAAGAATAAACAACGATCAATTAAATATCATTGTTATCAACAAAGGTCATCACCCTTTTGTTTACTTATAATATCTGTCAGATATTAAGCAATATTAACATAAATGTTATTTGACAATGTATCTCCCGAAAATACAACATTAAGAAGAAAAAAATCTGTCAGAATTAATTTTTGAGACATTTTGGAATAAACATATTTTTATGATAACAGACTGAATTCTTAGAGCTGTGAATATTTACTAGATTTTGATGCTTTTCTTTCAATTAGAAGCTACATAACTTCAGACAAACTGTTATTTATTATCTGTAATTCAAAACCCGTAAGCCTCAACATTCATATTAATGAGTTAATGGATAATTAGATTTTAAAGGTACATGTACTTGGACACAGATTTGTAGTTAATTTTTTCTCTATAATATTACGACTTATATATTTTATAAAGCATTTCACACAAAAATCAAATAAAAATCTTATTTCATTTATAAGTTATTAAAAATTTTTTTTTGGCGGGTTTGATTGACACGTCCTTGCACTTTCACAAATTTTAACTTAAAAAAAAAAATTCAAAAATTAAATACCTTATAAATGAATTAAGATTTTTAATTAATTTTTGTGTGAAATGCTATTAAAATATATAATTCGTGATGTTATACAGAAAAAATTAACTTCAAATCTGTGTCCAAGTACCTTTAACTTTTAAAAGGATTGTGTCTTTAAAGGTACTTGGACACAGATTTTAAGTCAATATTTTCTGTATAATATTACGACTTATCTATTTTAATAGCATTTCACACAAAAATTAATTAAATTCATGTACGATCTATTTCATTTAAAAGTTATTAAAACTTCAAATTTTTCGGCGGGTTTGATTGACAGATGTTTGCACTTTCACAAATTTTAACCTTATTCTTAATCCTTAGGAAATATAAAAAAAAAATTGAAACTTTTATCCAGAAAAATAATTTTATTCAGAGTAGAAAAGCAATACTCCCTCACAAGTACATGTATCGTCATTCCGAACTAAGAGTTGCGTACAGGATTTCGCGAATTGAGCACACTCGTTTTATGTATACAGTTTTTGTAAACAGGGCGCGAGCTGTTTTATTGATGTTTACAATTCACCGCATGCATTCAATCGTCACAGTCTGCTTACCACAACTGCACGGACAGACAATATATTGTGTGTTTGTTTTGCTTTCGGACATGTCTACTCTGAATTTTCTGGATTATAGTATTAACATTTTTTCATTTAAACACAACGAGATTGCCACTTTTCCTAAGGATTAAGAATAAAATTAATTTGTGAAAGTGCAAGGATGTGTCAATCAAACCCGCCAAAAAATTTGAAATTTTAATATCTTTGATATGAAATAAGATTTTTAATTAATTTTTGTGTGAAATGCTATTAAAATATTTAAGTCGTAATATTATAGAGATAATAATAACTTCAAATCTGTGTCCAAGTATCTTTAATGCTATTTTTGAACATTTAATTTTTTTATTAAGTTTAAAACCCTGCTATAGCCCTTGTCCCTGACATTTTGACACACCTCCAGGACTGACATGATCCTTCACCCTCTCTGTGTAATGATGTGAGCCAAGGTTTAATTAGTCAAATTGGCTTTGGGTTCTTGAGATGAATAAACATTTCGATTGACAGATGACCGATAAACGTCAAGTAGAAATACTTATTCAACTTTAGATAATGACAAAAATATACATTAAATTTAGTCATAGAGTTTATTTCCTCAAATTAAATTAGACATTTTAATCCATAATAATAGAATTTCTGTATGACTTTTTTTTCTTCTAAATTCATGCATTTCACATTTTCTGTTGTTTTGCATGCATATAATAAAATTTTTCAATTTAACTTTAAAGGATTTCGTTCTGATCATGGAAATTAAATTTTTAAATGAACGGCAAGAAATAAAAATAGTTTACTCATCTGAGATTTTAAAGGAATTTTCCGAGTACCTATGGTATTCCAACATAAAATGAAAAAGTAAACGTCAAATATCCCATTTTGTTAGAAAATACGAAATGTGTCAGGTAGCGTGATTACCGGCTCGTGAATAATCTTGAAAGTGTGCGTGGAATTACGATTGCATGGAAAGGGCTTACATGTAACTAAAAACAAGAGGTCCAAGGGCCTTGAATCTCTCTTCTGATAAATTGTACAATCTATCACTTCTATTTGAAGCCTCTAACACTAAGTATCCTAAGACCCAACTAGCATCAACTGACATAAGTTGAGGATTCTGAGTGACCTACTTTAAGACTGAAGTTTTCTGAGGACCACAAGATGCATTAATAGACGAAGATTGAAGATTCTAAGCCAATAAGTATTTGATGTATTTAAAAGTTAATTACTGTGACCTACTTTTTTGTCTACATTCTCCGAAAACCCAAAATGGATCAGCTGACAAAGTTTGAAGATTCTAAGCCAAAAAGTACTCAAGATACTTAAATATACCCATAAAATATCAATAGTAGGTTACTGTGACCTATATTTTAGTAGAACTTTAGCAGAATTTTCAAAAACCCAAGATACATCAACTGACAAAGTTCTTTTTGGTCGTCACTCTCCGAAAACCCAAGATGTATCAACTGACAAAGTTTGATGATTCTAAGCCAATAAATACCTAATATACGTAAATATAGCCATAAAATGTCGAAAGTAGGTAATCGTGACCTACATTTTGGTCAACGTTTTTTGAAGTCCCATGATGCATCTACTGAATAAGTTTGAGTTAGTAGGTCTAAGATAAATAAAATATGCCTTTAAACATATTTGAAAATAAATGCCTGCAAAATTCAAAAAGTAGGCCACAGTGACCTACTTTTACATACATATGTTTTAAGGTCCACAGATGCATCAACGTACAAGATTTTATGATTCTAAACCTCTCAGTGTCTGAAATAATGGTATTAAATGTTTTAAAAAGGATTAGTCATAAAGTTCAAAGAGTAGGTCATGGTGACCTACTTTTAAGTTGTTCAAGGATCCAAGATGCATCAACTGACAAAGTTTAATCATCATAGACCTTAAAGTGTCCAAAATATGCCTTCAATTCAATTTGAAAACAAATGCCCGCAAAATTTGAAAAGTAGGTCATCGTGACCTACTTTTGATTTAACATGATATGAAGTCCTAAGATGCCTCAACTTACAAGATTTGATGATCCTAGTCCTTATAGTAAGCAAGATGTACATGTTTTTCTTAATTGTAAATTTAGGTTAACTTTGAAGTGACCTTGAAACCACGCACTTTGCCCCAGGGTAATTCCCCGTGCAAATTTTAATTTTCGACATATCCTAATCCTTGTATGTAAGTTTAATGAAAATCTGCCTTGTGGTTCTGGAGAAGAAGATTTTTTAGCATCCAGTACTTTTTGTTTTGTTTTCCCGATTATCTCCCCTTGTTTAAAGGTCCCAACCCGTACTTTAGTATAAATAGTAGCCCTTGGGCCAAGGATACCCTGTGGCAAATTTGACACTGATTGGCCAAGGGGTTCTTGAGTTATGGCCAATATTCTAAAAAGTTTCCGCACACTGCACACCGCACAAATGGCCATAGCATTAGCTCTTTGAGCCTTTTGACTCAGAAGAGCTAAAAATAAGAATTTCCTCAATTAAAACACTGTATTTAAAAGTATCACTAAATGAACTGGTGACAATATGAAAAAAGAGTTTCCTGCTCAGGAAACAAAAAATTGTTCTTAGGATATGAAAGTTGCTGAAAAAAAAGAATAAAAACTGGTTTTTATATGCTTTCCGCAATGTCATGTAATACGTACATTAAAATCCTGTTTTCCATTGATTGATTGATTGTATACTATTTAACGTCCCTATCCAGAATATTTCACTGATGTGATCGAAGATAATTAACAAATACAAATGAATTCAAATGTGAACTATTTATAATTAAGGATTTGGGGA